TCCTGGTCCCAGAGGCACCTCTCCGGAGGCTGCAGTACTCTGAGTACCACTCACGCAGCCGCTCCGAGGAGAGAGCTCCCCCAGGCGCAGGACTCCCAGGCTCAGCACCCCCAGGCTCAGCACTCCCAGACCCAGAACTCTGCAGCTCAGCACTCCCAAGCACAGCACCCCCAGGCTCAGTACGTCCAGGCTCAGTACCCCCAGACTCCGCACCCCCAGGCTCCGCAACCGCAGGCTCCGCACCCCCAGGCTCAGCACCCCCAGGCTCAGCACCCCCAGGCTCCGCACCCCCAGCAGGACGAGAGTCAACAGCTACCTCAACAGGGTCAACCGGGTCTACCTGGGACACACCTGAGGGAGCGGCACCCTGAGGGGGGAGGGGGTCTACCACAGCAGCACCTGGTGCGAGGAAGAGAGGCGGGGGGGGGAGTGGGGCAGTGCGGTAGGGGAAGAGGCGGTAGTAGGGGACGGACTCGTCAAAAGTGACGTCCTGAGAGGCAAGGACCCGGCGCGAGGTGGCGTGGTAAAACTGCCAACCAGACGCGTCAGGGACAAAGCCAAGGAAGATACAGGGAACAGCGCGGGTGGAGAGCTTGTCCGCGGAAGCGTCGCGGACAAAAGCTCGAGATCCCCAGACCCGGAAACGCGACGCATCGCCAACCTCCCCCGTCCACCGCAGCGTGGGCGAGGTCTCCGGCATGGAGACACGGGGCCAGAGGTTGAGCTGATGCGCAGCGTACCGGACCGCAAACGGCCACAGGAAATGGGGGGCAGCCGCATGGATCAAGGAGGTACGGGCGACCTCCATGACCAGGCCAATGCGACGCTCCGCAACCCCATTCTGCTGTGGAGAGGCCGGAAGCGTGAATGACTGCTCAATGCCGTGCTCAGCACAGTAGGCTGCCAAGAGGTCGGAGGAGAACTTACCACCTCTGTCAGAGTGCAAGCGCAGGACAGGAAAGTCCGAGTGGAAACGCTCGCTGAGCTGGAGACGAGCTCTGCGGATCCAAGGGATCAAAACATCAGGGACTTCACCCTTGGTGCGCAAGGGGAAGACCGTGGTGTAGCGCGAGTAGTCGTCAACAACTATCAGGAAGTACCTCTCCTGACCCTGACCACGGACGCGGGCTGGGCCCCACACGTCCATGTGGAGCGTCTGCAAGGGAGCAGTCGTCGGGGGAAAGGAGGAGGAGTGAGGAGCGGCGCGCTGCCGCCCCTCGACACAGGGAAGACAGGGAGGAGCAGGCGAGGGAGGGAGAGGAGGGAGGACCCTGGGAAGACCAGAGACAAGGTACCTGGAGTGCATGGCCCGAAGGCGCTGCACAGACGGGTGGCCAAGGCGGTGGTGCCAGAGGACAGTCTCGTGCGCCAGAGAGCGACACGAGCAGGGGGCCGACAGCTGACCTGACGCAGACGCAGACGCAGACGCAGCGACCGCTACCTGAGGGGACTCAGTGGTCAGTGTGTACAGGTCCGACCCCGGCTGCCGAGTGAAGGTAGCCAAGTGGCGGCCCGTACGGGCACACGTGCAGTGCGTCACGCGCTCGTAGGCCGGGGTGAACTGGTGAACACCCGCGTCCTGGAGCGCACACCCAGCCACCAAGTTCGTAGAGAACGAGGGGAGGTGGAGACCGGACAGTGTGCCCGACGGGACCGCAGGACAAGGAAGGACAGTGGAGGAGGTCGCAATGACCGGACCCCCAGAGGGGTCAGCGAGGGAGACAGCAACTGGCCGAGCAAGCGGCTCAAGGGCAGTGCGGTCACGAAAGAAACAGCGAGAAGCACCGGAGTCCAGAGTGAAGGTGTGCAGTGCCTCAGTCGACTCAGTACCAGGGGGCGCAGACTCACTAGCACCTAGAGCAGCAGCCTCATCGGCACCTGGGGTAGCAGCTGCACTAGCACCTAGAGCGGCAGCCTCACTCACAGGACACGGCAGCTGCACCTGTCCATCACCAGAAGCTCCCGACCGACCCACTCCAGAGCGACCACCACTACGGCCACCCCGACAGCCCCAACTGGCGTACCACTCACGAAGCTGCTGGGGTGAAAGAGGACACTGCAGCTGCACCTGTCCACTACCAGAAGCTCCCGACCGACCCACTCCAGAGCGACTACCACTACGGTCACCCCGACAGCCCCAACTAGCGTACCACTCACGAAGCTGCTGGGGCGTGAGGGACTCACGCGCACGGCCCTGGAGCTGCATCTGGCCTCGCCAGGAGCAGCAGTAGCAGCAGTAGCGGCAGTAACAGCAGTAACAGCAGGAGCAGTACCAGTGGGAGTAGAAAAGGCAGTAGCAGCAGTAGCAGTGCGGGCAGGGCAATGCTCACCAGTGGTCGGCGTGGCAGGCGCAAGACGGTGGCGACCGCGGGGCCGCTACAACTGCAGGGCGGGGCCAGGCCGCAGCAGGGAGCTCCGCGGCAGCTGCTGCAGGGCGAGGCCGGGCCGCGACGGCAGTTGCTCCAGGTGCCTGGGGCGGCTGCTGCAGGTGCGGGCTGCTCCAGGGGCGGCTGCTGCAGGTGCAGGCTGCTCCAGGGGCGGCTGCTGCAGGTGCGGGCTGCTCCAGGGGCGGCTGCTGCAGTGGCGGGCGGCTCCAGGGGCGGCTGCTACAGTGGCGGGCGGCTCCAGGGGCGGCTGCTGCAGTGGCGGGCGGCTCCAGGGGCTGCTGCTGCAGTGGCGGGCGGCTCCAGGGGCTGCTGCTGCAGTGGCGGGCGGCTCCAGGGGCTGCTGCTGCAGTTGCGGGCGGCTCCAGGGGCGGCTGCTACAGTGGCGGGCGGCTCCAGGGGCGGCTGCTGCAGTGGCGGGCGGCTCCAGGGGCTGCTGCTGCAGTGGCGGGCGGCTCCAGGGGCGGCTGCTGCAGTGGCGGGCGGCTCCAGGGGCTGCTGCTGCAGTGGCGGGCGGCTCCAGGGGCGGCTGCTGTAGTGGCGGGCGGCTCCAGGGGCTGCTACTGCAGTGGCGGGCAACTCCAGGGGCGGCTCCACGGGCAGGTGGCGACGCCGCGGGCAGGGCGACGCGGCGGGCAGGTGGCGACGCGGCGGGCAGGTGGCGACGCCGCGGGCAGGCGACGACGCCGCGGGCAGGCGACGACGCCGCGGGCAGGCGACGACGCCGCGGGCAGGCGACGACGCCGCGGGCAGGCGACGACGCCGCGGGCAGGTGACGACGCCGCGGGCAGGCGACGACGCCGCGGGCAGGGGCTGCGTCGCGGGCAGGCGACGACGCCGCGGGCAGGGGCTGCGTCGCGGGCAGGCGACGACGCCGCGGGCAGGGGCTGCGTCGCGGGCAGGCGACGACGCCGCGGGCAGGCGACGACGACGCCGCGGACAGGGCGACGCGGTGGGCGGCGAGAGCCTGCAGAGGCGGCGCGCGGTCGGGCAGAGGCTGCGCGCGGGCCTGACGGGTCTGCAGGGGCGGCTCTCGGGCGTGACGGGCCTGCAGAGGCGGCTCGGGGGGGGCCTGACGGGTCTGCAGAGGCGGCTCGGGGGCCTGACGGACCTGCAGGGGCGGCTCGAGGGCGCACGAGGGCGCACGAGGGCGTACGAGGGCGTACGAGGGCGCACGAAGGCGCACGAGGGCGCACGAGGGCGCACGAGGGCGCACGAAGGCGCACTAGCAGAGAAAGGCGCACGAGGGCGCACGTAGGGTAGGGCGCACGAGGGCGCACGTAGGGTAGGGCGCACGAGGGCGCTTCTAGCGGAATAGTGGGCCCATTGGAGAAAGCGGTCCTAGGTAGCAACCTAGGCTTCTGATACCATGTTAGAATCTGAGAATAGAACGAGAATGAATGAACTAGCAGGAAGTTGGGTACAAGTAGGAAACCCTAAGTTTGTGTACCCTCTAAGGCTAAACCCACTATAGCCTACACAATATAAACATACAATGTTTGACATGAAGAACCTCATTGGCGGTGTGCTAAGTTGTGCGATATAAGCCTCAACTAGGTTCACACATGAAGGGGGAGTTGGGAGGCAAGAAGGCGACTGCTTGAGGGGGAGTTTGTTGGGTGCAAATACCAATTGTGCTCTCCAATCAGCCGCGTGCACATCATTTCACATCACATGAACAGTTCGCGCACATTCATTTTCATACTTCACTTTGTTAGCATTCATGGCGAGTTTATATTCATTCATGAAAGCTCATGACGAGGCATCGTGAATTCCCATGAGTATTCATTTAGTATTCATGGCAAGAGAGCATTCTCACGAGTGTTTCACGAGTTCCCACGAAGAGAGACGCATGAAGAGTCACGAGTGTTCACGAAGGGTCAATCTTGACTCCTGAATTTTTATCGCGTCAGTCAGGGTCAACTGTACGGAAATGTCAGGACCCGCGCGTGGGGTTCTGATCGTGCATGTGGGTCCGCAGGCCCATGCGTGTGCCTTGCACTGTTGCGAGCATGCACTGTGGGCACGATCGCAACAGAACAGGGCGAATGTTCGCCTTGCCCACGCGCAGTCCTGCACACGTCAGTGCATAGTACACCCTCATTCTCACCTCTCTCACCATCGCGCGCACTGTGTACAGTGCGTGGCGCTAGCGCGGTCAACCCCGATTGTGCCCTTACCCGTTTCACAGGCAAATGTGCAGGTGGCGACAAACCAGATTTTGTGTGGCAGATGTAAACAGTGACAGCGCTTTGCAACTAACAAAAAAAACAGCAACGAGGCCTTGCAAACAGCAGATGCCGAGTCAACCACAGGTGATATGAACGATTGAAAGTCAACCCTCTTGCAACACGGCTTACACGCAACCCATCAGACAGAAAGCGCCCCACACACAACAGCAAGCTTTTTGTTGACAGAGGCAAACAAGCAGAGTTCTCCCGACATTTACGCTAGGAAGAACGAGTCACACCAAGCCCAGTAGGATCAAAGACAAGCAGTCGTCACCATGGCTATGCTGCAACAAAAAAAGAGATGAGATAGGAAACGAGCAAAGGGGGAAAGGTGTAGTCCACCACAAAACCAAAGAGAACAGAGACAGTGCGACGGGGTGTCCCATTACATCTCGGGCTGACGGAGGATGTCAAGAGCCATAGCCAGCAGTTCCGCCTCGTCTTCAATGGTGTTAGAGGCGTTCCAATCCTCTTCCGTGCGGTCTTCAGCGGGCATGTTCAGATCGACCATCACCCTGCTAGCACGCTCGAGACGGTCAATAACGACAGGGTTGCCAATTTCGAGGTGCTCTAGCAGCTCACGGGGCAGAATGCCTCTGGCATGTGCAAATTGCACCAAGGTCTCGGTTGCCTGCCGCGCAATTCGGCGTGTGCAGCGGTCAAGGTCAGTAGTGGCCGTTGCCTCAACGGGCTGCACGCCGTCCTCGTCCTCATCAAGATTTGAGAGCACTACCAGCCCCGGAGCCATCGGCTCCGAGGTTGGCTGATGGTCGTCGACAGTTATAAACTCCATCGGCCCCATTTCCCTCTCTGCAAGGTTGAGCTTCTGAATAGCCATTGATAAATCCAGCAGTTCGCACTGTGAAATCACAATTGCCTCATCCATGGTCTGTGATGTCACATGGTGCATCTGTGGCAGCCATACGGACGGTATACACCCCGTACGTGCCCAGCATTTCTGTACAGTGACAGCATCAATGGATGACCAAGACTGTCCAATCCAAATGACGGTGGGTTTTGCCCCGGGCTTTTCGCGTTGCAACTCCACACCTCTGATTCCTTGGTCGAATAGTGAGATAAGCTTCATCATCCACCTGCGCCTGAATCGCATCTTCAACGCCGCAATGATGCCCTGATCTAAAGGCTGAAGGAAAGTAGTGGTATTGGCAGGAAGATATATGATCCGAACATTCGACATTTTGAACGTCCGCATCCCCATCAGCGTTTCTTCCCGTCCAACAGCAGCATCAAGTGCGTGGGAAGAAGCGTTGTCCATGAGGATAACACACTGCCGTCCTTGCACGAAAAAAGTTGTGTTCACGTTATCCATGAATGCGCCAAATATCTGCACATTCAAGATACTCCGGGAGAGTGGTTGTTAGTAGTAAAAAAAAAAAAGAGGATGCTGACGTTATGGTGCTCTCTATTCCCATTACTATCTAGAGGGAAATTTCTCACCTCTTTATTCATCCACCCTTTGCGGTTCCAGTGCCACTTCACGTATTCTTCAACGTCAAAACCGCTGAAGCAGCGAGGGCGTTGCACCTTCGCGATCACCAACGGTTTCCACATGTCCGAACCATCAGCGTTGCATAGCAGACCGACAGTTAGGCGGTCTTTGCAGCCCTTCCCTCCAGCAAGAGTTTCCACAGCGTATGTCCGTCTCGGCGTTTGTGCAGGATAGACGGCGGTCTCATCAAAGTTGTAGGTGTCCTCAGCTGTTACACCAAGCCTTGTTAACAAGATAGGCAGCTTTTCACGGCACTCGCTAACAGCTTTCATGTCCGCTGAGGCTGCCTCCCCTTTACGCATGAGGCATCGAAGTCCCACTCGGGCAAGAGTTTGAACAACCCAGCCTTTAGAGCATTTGAAGGTGGGTGGGATGGACATATCCCTGGCCAGCTGGCGCGCACGTAACTGAATGACATCTATCGAAAGCGGCATGCCTGCTTCAGCAGCTCTATTAATCCAGCAGCAGACGCGCAGCTCCAATCCAGGATAGTGTCCTTTCCGTTGACGCTGCTGGTCGTCCTTACCGGGAGCATCCTCTAGCCAAATGGCCTTGTCTTTCAATACCTTCGAAACCGTGGACCGGGCTGGAGCAACGTTAAACTTTGTTGATGCCCATTCAGCAAGCTTTTCGTGGGTCCAGGTGTTGCGTGCAGCATGCTGTTGGCAGATGGCACGCTTGATACTACGTATCAGTGCTGCTCTTGTTCGGCCTATCCTCATTTTGAAAGCTATGGTGTCCTAGTGTAAATTCGAAGCTCTAGTGAGGGCAACGTGCCAGATGTATGCAATGTGAATGTCAATTCGCGATTGGAAATTTTGGAACATCGCGGTCTGCATTCAGATTTCTATGATTCCATTCCGATGTTGACTCGTGTTTGCTGACGGGGCATGAAGCTTTGAGTCTGTCCGTCGTGGCATCGTGATTCCGTTTGTGTTCTTTCATTCGTTTAGGTGATCAAGGCAGCCAATCAGTTTTCAGGATTGTGAGTTCATCAGTTCCGAATGTTCGATTGTCTTTGATTTCGGTCCAGAATGTAGTGGCAGCTTCTGTACTGTGTGCATGGTGGTCAAAGTTGTCAGACGTGCACACTACAAGCTCGGCCAGCCATCTGGTTCTTGTATGCGTTGTGACAAGACCACCTTTGGTGTGGTGCTGTCAGTCAAAGGGTCTCGGTCAGTCTAACATATGCCAGTCTATCGAGAATGAGGGTGTACCGCACGACCAAAATATCGGTCGTGTGCATGATTTCGGTCAAGGGGTGCTCGTGATCTTGGTTGAAATAATCGAATCTCGCGTAATCCCGTGTATAAGCAACTTCACTCGAAATGTCGCGCGCACAATGAGACATTTTCGATACAAGAGAAAACGGTGGAAACCGTTTTGTAACTGTACGCACTCATGAAAAGCGGTGAGAAATTGTCACGTAATTGTAAGGTCTCACGAAAAAACGGCATTCCTACACGAGTGTTCATGATCATTCATGGGAGGTCATAAATGTTCGTGAAGGGAGTGAGCTGGGGAATTTGGCAGGAGTGCAGCTGGAAGATAGTTACTTTCAAGAGCAGTTTTGTAACCGTTTTTCCAAGGACTACAAGGCGAAGACCTGGACGTCAGTCAAACAACTGTCTTGTGTTTTCCTTGTGTGTGCTCAGGAGTTAGTATAGTAGTATGCGTGCTTGTACTTGCTGGTTTCAACAATGCTATTCTGCTTTCATTATGAATTCTACCACTATGTGTTGACGAGGGTAAAAATGTTATTGTCACGCTGGCGAAATGCTGCTCGATCAGTTTACTCTTCCTACGAGCTAAGCAAGGCATAACTACTCCCTTAAAATATTTTATATGCGCTTGGCTCGAAGGTGACAAGTTGTCACACTCGGAGGGCATTAAGGGAAGTTAAGTGTTGCTGAGTTTACGCTTGTTGTGAAGTTTCAAGCGCTTCCGCATAGTACTTAGTGTTAACAATTTTGCCTCCTCGTACTCAGCTGGACTGATGCAATATAGAGGTCGAAAGGGTGGAACCTTTCCTGGTTCAACAAGGATGGTGTGGCCCACTGCGCGGTCGGGTGGAAGTCAATCGGGGATGGCTTCAAACACTTCCTTGAATTCCTCTGCCAGTATATGCATTTGAGGAGGGAACTCCTCAATTACTGGCTCCGAGGTGTCGGCATTTTTAAGCTGTACCACAAACAGTGTATCAACCGATTTAACAAAATGCCCAAACTTGGCCAACACACACATCGCGTTGGGACGTTTAGGCGTCTGTGTTTTAGTGAGCAAAGTATCATTGACTTTCCACTGGATTGCATTGCTGTTCTTGTTGAACGAGACAATATTGTATAGGAAGTCGAATTTCACCTCGTTGGCTTGCAACCAATCCATGCCAAGGATGAGGTCGACACCTGACAAAAGTGGCGGGACATAGACGCGAACTGTTTCCCTATAGTCCTGTACAATAATGTCGATGTGTGTCTGTCTTTTACTTGGAATGACACGGTCGTCACCCAAGCGAATGCGACAAGACGGTCTTACAACGAGGACGTTGCGGGTCGTAACCCAAGTTTGTGGATCGTAACCCAAGTTTCATCAACAAGGGAAACCGGCGCGTCCGAGAATCCTTGCTTTGTCCCCATTCATGCGTCCAGATAAAAGTAGATTCTGTTTGAATCTTGGACGAATGGGACAAGCGACAACAAGTTTAGAAGGCCAATAGTACACCCTAAATTTGTTGTGAGCGCATCTAATCGTTGGGGAATTGGTCCACCAGGCGTGGTGTCCTTGATCCCATGTTGGCAGGATATGTCATTCGTGAAATCGGCGGAATAGTTCTCCTTTCACAATTCGAATCACTAATCCCACTAATGTGAGCGGGTGCTCTTGGACACAACGGTCCACAATATCCATGACTACTGGCAAGTCTTTGAACGAGCAAGAGATTATTGAAAATTATCTCTCAAAGATTCAACTGAAATTTTTTCTAGTGTGTATGATCAAGTTTTAAAAACCATTTTTTTTTCATTGATACAAGAGGCATACAAGGAAAACCTGTTTTAAAAAAGGTTTTCAAGCGATTTTGCATGATGCAAGCTTTTCAAGCTTTGGCCCATCCTCATCACAAATGACATAAGCCTCATCTACTCGATCTCGCTCACAAACTAGATATCCACCCCTTAGTTCGGCTTCTGAAAATCCTTTGGACCTGAAGGGCCCGAACCATCCGGCTTTTTGCCCTGGTTGGGCTTGCCGAAATTCTTGACGGACTTCCTCGAGCGACACTGATAGGCCTTGTGGCCGAGCTTTCCACACATGTGGCAGCTCGCCGGGGGCTTATCAGCATCTTGAAGATCCTTGGCACGCCCAGCATGAGCCCTCTTGCGAAACACATCAAATTTCTTCTCAATATTGATGATGAAGAAGAAGCTCATTGTAGATCTTGTAGCTCCAATGAAGGATTGAAAAAATTGTAGCTTGAAGCTTGTAGATCTTGTAGAAGCTTTTGTATATCCTTGAAGAAGCACGTGTGGATCTTGAAATTTCTTCAATATCTTCAAGATCTTGACAGCTCCTTGGATGAACTCCTAGATCCACAATCTAGGATATTAAAAAAAAAAAATATCCAAGTGCAAATGGCCACACAAGGCCAAAGAAGAACCTTGCTCGTTTGAGAAGAAGCTCCTGCTGGGCCCAGCATGAGCCTTCTTGCCCCCTCTTCTGCCAGCCTAGGCAATCTTGCGCTACCGTTTCTCTTTCTTGTGTTGTCTGAATCCACCACTGTAGCCGACCTCATGACTCACCTGCGCTCCCTTAACACACGCTATCGTGCTGCTGTCAAGCCAGATTTTCTAGCTCAGAATCACCCCCCCCATGTATCTCACTCTCTACTTACTCATGACTCGCCTCCCTGACTCTCTTCGTGCCGTTTGAGACCACTTTCTCTCCCTAGACCCCACTGAGCTCACCCTTGCCTCGTTTGATTCCCGTCTCCTCAAGGCTGAAACCAGTGCCTGCATTATAGCTGCCTCCCATGGTACTCGCTGCCCCCCTCCCTTTTCGCGCCTTCTGTTGCCTCTACCGCCACTGTTGTCTTCCTTAGTGCTGAGGAGGTCAGTGCTGCATCTGCTCCTAGCGGGAGGCGCCGCAGTAGGGGTGGGCGTACGAGGGGTGGGGGCAGTGGGGGTGGTGGGGGTGGTGGTAGAGGTGGTGGTGGCGGGGGTGGAGTAGGTGGCGGTGGCAGG